CATCAGGGCCCCTCTGCGCTGGGAGCCGGGGCCGCCTGCCCACCCAGCTCTGGCCCTCAGCGGCCGCTCACGCAAGGACCACACCGGGGCCCAGTGTCGTTTCTTTAATATATAACTTTATTTCTGGTTATATAGAAACAAGCTAAGAGGAGACACAGGACTTGCCCATCAACATACAATTTAATAGATAAAAGAACAGTTACAATAAATGAAAAACGAAATGTAGAAATTTTAAACTTTGTTATAGCTTTAAAACATTAATGTCTGAGACAATTAGAAATCACATTCATTTCTCAAACTTTAAAAAAAAGTATGGCTCCTTTTAAAAAAGTACTGTATCCCGTCGAAATGGGAAGGCAGGCCGGGCTCCCGCTGCCCCGGCCCCCAGACCAGACATCACTCCCAGGCTTAGACCTTAGTTTCCACTTTGTAGGAAACCACTGCTTTTAAAGCACTGATTATTAAACATGTTGTAAAAATACTTTAGACAGCCACCGTAAAAACACGCTCACACACACACCCAGCCCTCACAGCGCCCACCCCGCCCCCCAATTACCTTTACAGAATCATCGGTCAGATAAAAAAAAACCTCAGTATTGGGTTCGACGCTCCCGCACATGCCCAGCTGCTGGGTCAGAACTCGGCGGATCTGAGTGGGACCCTGTCCCCATCCCCCCCACCCCGTCCTGTTAGAACGTGAGCCCAGGCAATTCAGGGGGACCAGGAGAAGGGAGGGCCAAGCTTAACATGTTAGATTTTAAAACTCATTTTTACTGATTAAAAAATATCTGGCCCAGGTAACCTGACCAGTAGAGGCTCAGAGCTTAGGAGGCCGCGGGCTGTTTGACACCCTTCAGGCCACGAGGGAAAAGCCACTTCCATCAGAGTCAGACCCGTTCCAGCTCGCGGGGCAGGGCAGGGTGAGCTCCTGGGACCCGGCTCAGTGAGAAAACTTAGGTCAAAGCGCCCTAATCCCTGGACCCACACGCTAGACAGGCCGCCCCATGTCTCCCCTGCGGAGTCCCTCGGCCCCGCCTCCCTGACTTCCCTTTTTGTCTCTGACGCAGAGTGAACTGCCAGTAACTGTCTGGATGAATCAAACTAGCAAACTGCAGAGGAGGCCCGAGAGGCAGGACGAGCCAGAGGCCTTGCATCCTCCTCTCTCTGCTGCGCCCGCCCGTGGCCGGGGCAGAGGGGACAGTGGGGCAGAGGGGACAGTGGGGCAGAGAGGACAGTGGCTTCCCACTGCCCTGGAGGCGCGGGGGCAGGAACTGAGTGAAGAGCCGCGCTTGCGGCTCCCACTGGCCAGACGTCTCTTCTCAGTTCGGCTGCTACAGCTGAGCAGCAGGGCAGGGAGCCTCGGGGCCTTGGGGCGGGTGTCCCCGGGGAGCAAGGTGCCTGGCACAAAGCACCCCCAACCCTCTTCTAAAATAACGAGCAGCCACTGGGCGCCCCGGCTCGCGAAGAGATTTCACTTCCGTCCTGCGTGGCGTGCAGACCGCCACTGCCCGGAGGTGGGCAGAGCGTGAGCCAGGCCTCCTGTCACTCAGCCGCAGGCGAAGCTCCAGGCCAGGCCCTGCGGGCAGAGGTGGGCACCCCCGCAGCGGCGGCCATGCTCACAGGTGAGGCATCACCCAGAGCAGTGGGCCCTGCTGACCTCTCCCGTCTGACGACCTCACACCCCAGGACCTCCTCGCCACCCGGGGACCCGCTCAGCTGGCTCCTGGCCCCCACACGTACTCCTGGCTGACATGGCCCTCAGGCTGTGGGTGGGGGGCCCCCAGCTTGGCCCCAGCAGGGAGAGGGGGGCTGAGGCCAGGCCAGAAAGGACCCTCAGCCAGGACGCGCCCCACAGGCTGAGAGCCAGCAGGTGGACAGCTCAGCAGGCGAGCTCTTCCCTTTTTAACTTCAGAGTCGAAACATTTCCCCTCGTCAGTCACATGGGCCCATTTCTCATTTCAGTTCCGAGGAAGTGCTTGGGGTGACCCCAGATTCTTTGAAGCATCTGTGACGAGTTGGGTGATGGGGACGGGGAGCAGCGGTGCTGGAGGGGGTGGTGGTGCCCGGCCTGACGCCCCAGTGCCCGCACAGCCGGCAGCCTGGACAGGCACGGGCCGAGGGGACGCACTGCTGCCACCGCAGGGGCCGCCGCAGACCCCCCTCGGGCCCCAGGTAGCAGCTTTGGAGAGAGGACAGGCGGGGAGCCTTTTCCAAACGTGGGCGAGCTGCGCTGAGAACTGAGGCCCAGCGTGGAAGCCAGGCCTGGAGAACGAAACCGTAAGGACAGGAATTTGCAAAACACAGGAACCGACCTGGAGAGAAGGACAGAGAGGCAGCGAGAGGCCTGGGGCTGTCCTCCGCCCAAGCCCCCGCCGGGCCTGTCTGCAGGCCGCCCGTAGCAGCACGTTTGCGCGAGTAATTGTCCTTAGTGGGAGCGTTACTTCCGGGCAGAGGTATCGGGAAGGCCCCGCCCTGTGCAGCCACGAGGGACGGGCTGCGGTGGCCCCCGCCCTGGCAGAGCCTCCATCGTTGCGGGAGCTTGTCCTGAACGAGTAGTGCGCTGTGGTCTAGCATCGGGATGGAGGCAGCGGGCGTGCACCGCACCCTGAAGCCCGTCTCGGGGCAGCTGTGTTTTCAGAGGGGTTGGGGTGTAGAGGCCGGATGAGGGTGTGAACCCCGAGACGGTGACTCCCTCAAGGGCAAAGCAGAGCTGAGGCTTGGGGAGACGGAGCAGCTGGCTGCCTCCTGCACTGACAGCTCCGGGGCCCCTCCTCCGCCGCCATGTCCTCCCACCCAACAGCGTCCCGTCTCTGTCCCTGTCAGGTGAGAGGCTACCCCCAACCCAGGAGCCTTCCCCTCCTCTCGGCCTGAGTGACCAGCAAGGGGCATCTGTTCAGAGGCAGCGCCCTCTGGAGGTGGAGACCTTCTCAGAGGAAGCAGCAGCATCCTGAAGGATGCCAGGACCTCAGGACCTCACACCCTTCCCGGGGCCAGGGGTGGGGGTAGGGCACGGAACGACCAGCAAACCCGTCTCCGGCTCAGAGTCGCTGGGCCCTCCTCTTAGCGACTCGGGGACCCCCTCTCACCGTTTCCATTGGGCTCGGTTCTTAAACAGGAAAAAGGAAACACCCAGAGCCGGCAAACCCCACACGAGCCGAGGAGCCCCGCAGGGACACTTGTATGGGGCGCGAGCGGGGAGGTGGGTGAGGGGCGGCCTGGCCGAGCGCCCAGGCCCTGCAGACTGCCCTCCGTGGCAGGCATTCCCGGGAGAGCTCAGTGGGGGGGGCCGGCCTCCTGCGCCCGCCTGCCCTGGGCACGGAGAAGGCGCAGCCCGGCAGGCGCCCTCTTGGGACACCGTCACTCCCAACACCACCCTGAACGCCTCGGAGATGCGCACACGTGTCCAGTTGCTCTGGCTCCTCCCGTGCAGGGCTCTGCGTTGGAGCTGGAACGTGCAGCGCAGCACAGGGGTCCGAGTGCCCAAAGCCAGTGCCCTGGCCGCCTGCCTCTGCTGCAGACGCGAGCCCCCAGGTGGCCACAGCGAAGGGTCTCGGACCGAGGCTGCAGGGACACGGGGATCGCGCCAGCAGACGTCTCGCTTTCCCAACCTCGGCCGGCGTCGGCCCGCCCTCCATGGACCACAGGTCACAGGCCACCAGACACAGGCCACCTCTTGGCCAGCTCTGAGGGCACCGGGCAACCTTCCGCTGCGGCGTACACTTCCGGGCAGAGGCCGTGCCGGGCCTGCCACACGAGCCAGCAGCGCTCTGCGGTCAGATGACAGGACGCAGCGCTGGCCGCACGGCCCCTCCTCGGCTCCAGCAGGGGCACATGGCACCGTCGGGACCTTGTCCCTCCCCCTCTCCCTCGTTCCCCTCCCTCCATTCTCCCTGTGCCTCTGGCTGCCGAGGGGGGTCCTCACTGAAAACGGACAGAGAAACCAAAACAGCTCAAAAGCCATAGAAAGGGTTGGAGCCGGACCCAGGGGATCAGGCGAAGACCCGACTGTCCATGGCCAGCGGCCCTACTCCGTGGTGCCGCACCCAGAGGCGCCCGTGGTCCTGCCGTCAGGAGCAGGCGCATCTGGGTGACACGTCCCCAGGGGAGGGAAGCAGCGCTCAGACCCGCGGCCAGGCCTGCAGCCCATCCTCACGCCGCCACCACGTGCACAGCAGGCACAGGAGGGAGTTGACGGACAGGAGCCGGCGCTGTGGGCTGGGGGACCGAGGGCGGCGCCAGCTCGCTCCATCGCCCGCTTCTCTGGCGTCCCGGAGGCGGCAGGTGGACTTCCCAAGAGTGTTTCCCACGTGAGGTTCGTGCCACAGAACGACAGGCGTCCTCCCGTCTGCGGGAGGGCACAGGCCCTGCACCGTCCTTGGCACCTGGGGTGGGGACACCGCGGCAGCGATGGTGCGGGCCATTCCAACGAG